AGCCAGGAATATGTTGGTATAGATAACAACAAGCTAAACTCCTAAAAACACATAAGCTATAGTAAACTCATTGTACAAAATGTTGATTCAAAAAGATTTTTAAATACCAGATGTCTCTATTGCATCTTACCATGATTCTACATAAATTCTATAAAATTTGATTTCATATAAATGTTCACGAACTTAGCATTTATATTTTCCTGAAATAGGCACAATCACATATGTTTTTCTGGAATCAGTTTCCAAAATAAGAAGTTGTACACGGCATCATTTTCGGAGATAGCCCAGTAGGCTTGGAACATTCCATGCTATTGCAGAAAAATCTCATAACCTAGAGACCAACCTTATCACACCACTAGCCACCTATGCTGAGATACATGGAATTACATAAAGAAAGTCCAAACCTTCAACTATCTCTCATTATTTAACTTGCTGAGACCACAGGCTAAAAGGTCTACATAGAAAGAATTAATGAGGACCAGTTACTAATTGCTCGTCATTAGGTAATCTACAAAAACCTAATCCTCTGGTCTTCAGCTTGGGAAACTATAGAGACTTCAGAGCAGAACAGCTCTAGGGGAGTACCAGGGCTAAGTGAGACACCTGTGTCTGCTTAATGAATCCCTTGATCTCACTTGTCCCCTTCACTGTCACTGACAAAGCAGAGGAACCATTTACAAGCACAGTCATAAGCACCATCGCAGAAGAGCCCATGTCTACATGAGCGAACCTACCACGACCACGCTCCACCCGCTGCGCTGACATGTGCTGGTCCTTCAGGACTAACCAGAGGAATCAGCTTCTCATATTCCGTCATCATTGTCCCTCACCTCTGCATGTTACCCCTACGTCTAACCGTGCACTTAATCCAGTTAGCACAGGTAGTGGATGCTGTTAGAATTGAGTGTTTACTTTTGTATCTTGAACGCTAGAATGTAAAATTCCTGCAAACAGAGACCATGATTATTTTATTCTCATGTTGCCAGGACCAAGCCCAGTCCCTGGCACGTAGTAAGTGCTCAGAAAATGTTTGTTGAATGGAAGTTGAATAAGTTGCCACTGCCACATCTGACATAGCTGCCACATTAATGACTTGGAGGTGGGGAGATAAGATCTATTTGTTAAAAAAAAAAAAAAAAAAAGCCAAGAGCATGTAGTGAAAATGCCATGATACTGTCTCCTTAATGCTAGTATGAATGCAGTTTTTATATCATCAGAAAACATCTGTGAACCTACCATCACTGACTAAATAACACCTTTGTAGGTGCGTGCATGGGACATATACATTTATTATAATGACAGTATTTTACTGTCATAAACACTTAAAACCAAGAAGTCTGGTTTAGAAAAAAAAATTTAGAAAATGGCTGTATTTTTCTGAGATTCCATATTCTATATGTGAAATGTGTTTAAAACTTCCAAATAATTACATGCTTTATTCTCTTTCTGGTTAAAATACAACAGTATATTGTTACAAAGTATTTGCTTAACTAATTATTTATAATAGAATAATTTATATCACTGAATTAAAAACTCATTGGTTTATATGTGGGTCACTCTTTCCGAAATAAAATTTCATTTCCTTCTTTTGAAAAAAATAATTTTTCAAAGAGAGGTTCAATTTTAAAAATTTATGTAAACAGATTATTTCTGATGAAGCAAAAACATACATTCGCTTTGTTAAAAACTATATAATAAAAAGATATCCTACATATACAACACTAATAAGATTTTCATAAAAGAAATGGGCCTGAAAATGCTTTGAAATCTTTGTAACCTTTCCTATCGTTTATGAAAGACTTAAAAGATTAATTTACTATCTTCCCCTTCAAATTTTATTCTATTTTTTAAGTGTCCTTGGAATAATGGAGGGACATTTGGGGATAAGGGCTGAAATATGTACTTTAGGTATTTTTTTAATAGACAATAGATGTGGTCAAGATAATTATAATCAGAAAATTAAGCAGACCAGACTTGAATTTTTATCACAATTTCACACAGAATAAAGCTTAAGTAGAAGGTAAAGTGCTGCATACACAAAGCACAAAATACAGTCTAATCAATATTTCACACACTTTGGGTTATTTCAACTTAGTTCTTACAGGCAACTTCATGAAAGTCTAAGGTAAATAAAGTATGTCCTAAATGGTTTCTTTTTCCTAAGACAAAACTAATCAAAACTTTTAAAATCTCTTAATCGCTACACACATTTTTACATTGCCAGAGAAGAAAAAGAGAAATTATTAATTTTTAAAATTACCCAGCAATTCCATTGCATCATCTTCATTATCAATATCTTCCTCTGTTACAGATGGGGTGGGGCTGTGAATGGACTCAAAAGAATCTTGAGAGAGCATGGCCGCCAGGAGCTTCTTATGTTGCTGCTGCTGCTGTTTTAATCCTTTAGTCTTAGGCTCCATCTTTAAGCTGAAGAAATATTTAAATGTCAATTAGCTGTGATAAGTTACTTATACTTATATGTTTTCATATAAATATACTTGATGTTTTCATATAAACAGACAGTTACAGTTTTAAGGCAATTTTTTCCCCCTTAGGAATAAATAATAATTCTCAAAGCATTACTGTTTAAAAGCAGACATTTTATGTACATTCTGACAATGGCTTTTGCCTACTTACTATGGACTTAAATATATACAGAATGCTTAGAAGTTATATATTTCACACAAAGATAATATATAATCTATCTTGAAAATGGTATTTTATACAAATAAGCATAAATCAAATGCTTATTTTTTATTCCTATAAAACATGATTATTTTGAAAAGGCCAACATATGATCAAACTATGTGTATTTATTTAAGAAAGCACTTCCAGGCTGGGTGCAGTGGCTACGCCTGTAATCCTAGCACTCTGGGAGGACGAGGCAGGCGGATTGCTCGAGGTCAGGAGTTCAAAACCAGCCTGAGCAAGAACAAGATCCCATCTCTACTATAAATAGAAAGAAATTAACTGGCAACTAATATATATAGAAAAAATTAGCCGGGCATGGTGGCATATGCCTGTAGTCCCAGCCACTCAGGAGACTGAGGCAGTAGGATTGCTTGAGCCCAGGAGTTTGAGGTTGCCGTGAGCTAGGCTGATTCCACGGCACTCATTCTAGCCTGGGCAACAAAGCGAGACTCTGTCTCAAAAAAAAAAAAAAAAAAAAAAAAGAAAGCACTTCCACCCAAATGTAAACTTAGAATTTTTTCGAGGTCCACAGCTATTTTTCTAGAACCCTTGGGGCTGGATGTGCTCTGTTGCATAAGATCCATATTACATATGGAGGGTCTGGGGCCTCACCTTGTTATCAAATACATCAGTATTTCCACATTATGATGTATCAGTATTCCCATTGAGTGGGATAAATAAGGAATCTACAGTGTTCAGATCAGGTTTTGCTATCATGAGTTACGAAAACAATTTTGGTTCTCAGAGAGTTTTGAATTTCACAATTACAGATAAGGACTGTGAGGAACATATCTGAATAGAAAACCGAGAGACGGGATCCCAAACACTGCTGCAGGGTTAAGTCAGAGCAGGGCTGAGACCTGATGCTGGAATCTCAGAAGGCAGAGGTCATTTGAATGACACTGGGTGACATGGACAAGAGGTCATCCTGTGACACTGGTAGGGTGGTTTCAATAGGTGATGGGAATAAAATTCTATTTGGAAAAGATTGATACAGGAGAGGACAGTGAACACAGGGAACAAGTGTAAGGAGCTTCATTCTAAAGAAGACATATAAACTATAGCACATTCTAATTTTTGTTCTGTATCTTCTCCTTGCTCTCCCTCCCATTCTTGCCAAGACCACTTTGGCTACCAAAAGATTGGTGTATTGCAGAAAATAATATTTTTCTTTTCTCCCAGAAATTAACATTATAAGAATAAATTAAACGTAGTGGAGTATTTTTGCTCTACATCCCTTAACCAAATCACCTTAACATGTTGCCTTGCTTTAATATCCTGAATAAAAAGATGTAATATTGTGTTTGATATAAGCAATATTTTGGCTGCATAATACAAGGTGCTTTAGCCTACCTAACTATTCTATTTCACTGTTGTTGTGGAAAACATCAATTCTTACTGTTAGTAGGGCAATTTCCCAAAAGCTCTTAGAAGTTTGTTTTTTTTTTTTCGTTTACCTATAAACTATACAAAATGTATGTGGGTTAGAGGTATAAATTTACTTGAGAAAAGTTTTATATTTGAATTCTAGTGTCTTTTTTTTTCAATATTACTTTCAGCCATTGAAAAAGAAGGAAAAAATTTTAAAAGTATTTTCAGGAAAGTCATCATTTATCTTCCACAAACATCCGCTGTGGAGTAGGTAGGACATCGTTGTTACATGACTTGGTTATTTATATAATGTAGCTCAAGATGAAACATTAGCAAGAGACAGTTTAAGGGCCTAGACCTCGGTCTTGAGAGTGTTGGCCCTAAGGCTTGATCTTTATCCATGATATGTCCACATCACATTGTGGCTTGCATGTCTGCAAAGTACTTAGTGAGTGAAGAGCTATAGTTAATATAAAGGCATATTGTTTATATATTGCTATGTTGCCAAACATTTATAACTGTACTCACAAGTGCAAATATATTAACAACACCCTACTCACAATATATTGAGAACAGCTTGCTCTAAAGGAATTTTCCGCAGTATAACATTGAGATAAAGGCACAGGTCAACAATTTGTTTATGGGTTTAGATTTTTATTTTCAAACTATTGGACTTTTTCCTGCTATGCTTGGCTACTTTTACTATTGGATTATTTTTCTACAGGAAAAGAAGCACATTTGTTTTAACACCATAAAAGTAAATCACATAGGGGATGACATATAATATTTTTGGTGGCATGTAGGTTTATGCTTATTTAAGGCAATTTCTACATATAAACCCTGGTTATCATTTTGCCAGATGTTTTTGATTTGTTGGAAAAGAAACGAAAATGAGATGAAGAGAATGGAAGCACTGATGACATCGCCAAACACAAAAACAAGTAAATTAGGAAGGCAGTAAAGGAACATGAGATCACATTTAGCCAAGCAAGTAAAATCCTAAATAAAGCTTTATATGGTAATCACTGAATGAAAATGGGATCAGAAGAAACCATTTCCTCAAGTAGTATGTTGATCATTTTAGATGTTATGTTGATTTTCTACTCTAAGTAGTTCATGTTTTTGAAGTGCTCCTGAAATACTAGAAAGGAAGACATAATAAGGTGATGACAAACTGCACTAGCCATAAGCTTGTGTAATAAGACTTTTTTATTGTTTCCAGGGACAACTTTAAAAGAGCATGTTTGAACTCAGAACCTCTATTCCATGCTCTTTTGTTGTAACATTAGACTTTCTATTATTACTTCTCTTGCTGCAGGATATATTTTTCAAACAAAAAATTGAATATACCTAATAATTAGGATTTCTCATTGTACGTTATATGAATGTACACAAGTCCTCTGCGAAAATGGCGGAGGATGGCAATTCCTGTTCCAAATATGGTAATTTCATGGGCTTTATTAAATTTAATGAACTACGAATTTGGGGAAGAGGGGCACTAGAGTTTTGCAATTAAACACTCTCCCAGATGATCTTTAAGCAAATCAATTTTAAAAACATGCTCTCTGTAAGTCAATATTCCATGAAACATGTCTGGTATTGTTACATTGAACTCCTGGGAATGTGCAGATAGTCACTTTATAAGTGATACGTACACAATTTTGAGAATTAATTAACTATGGAATGAATTAATGAACTATTGGAGAGCTGAGGCAGATTCACAAGATTTGTCTTATCTAAAGCCGTTCACTATAATCACCCTTTCTCTCAAAGCCAAAGAGGTCAAATAGTTGAGAAATATAAGACGATTATGGTGTGTTGGTATGTTAATTTGAACTAGCACTGTTTCACGTAGAGGTGCATGAATTGGATACATGAAAGAATGGTTTTGAATGGATTTACTCAGATGTTGTCACTGTCATCTGGGAGGCAAGGCACAGCTGTATTCAGCTTCACTCTGGCGCACACTTCGACAGAGCTTACTTGGCATTGTGCGTGGAGGGATGGCGAGTGAACGCGAGCTGAAGTTAGAATTCCAAAAAGACAGGTGGAAAACTCTATGCAGGGGCATCTTCAATACACCTCTGTACGATCAAACACATGGCTTAACAGAGAAAAATATTATTTAGGCAGGTGTAAGATATCTTCATGCATGTATTCATCGAGGTCCTAGCTTTTTCCTAATTGTACTATTCCACTTAGTGACATTTAAAAATTATGTGGCAAATTTTTCTAATAATCTTGGTTATTTGTGCTCATCAATTGCCAGTACAGTGTTCGTAATTACTTGGAATTTTTTTTAGATATTAGTTTATTTTAAGATGGAACTACTAATAGGAGGTGATATGAAAGATTAAATCTCACAATTCTGAAATATTTGATCTCTAATATGCGCTTATCATTCTATATTAAACTTTTTGTATTATGTGATGTATTTATAAGTTTTAAGGGCATCTTATAGCCAATATTGAAGGACGCCATACATTTAATTCTTTGGAAAGTCGTAGGGTGTTTTATGAACGCCTCTCTTGTATGAAGAAACTTCATCTTAAACTGAACAATTTTCTGTTATGCTGATATTTTCCAATGATCTCACAAAACCACAAGGAGAAAAGTTTTTATTTGTATGGCGTTATGTTAACTATTTATATTACTCTAAATTATCTAAAATAAGGTATATTGATTACTGGTAATTTTTTAAAACACATTAGAGCGCCCCCCATCCTTTTTTATTTTTTTAATTGACTTATTTATATGATAGCATCCATTTCTCATCAGGTAAAATGCTGTTTATTATTTTTGCAATATGGGTCCCTTCTTGCTTAAAAAGGGCCCTCCAATTTTAGAAAACAGACAGTAGAGTGCATATTTAGCTTTTAAGGTTGATCACATATGCCAAACAAAAATTGCCACAGGAGCTTTCTTAATGTAATTTGAGTCCTTCTAGGAAAGTAGATTTTTATTTAACAAATTTGGAAGATCCATTTATAGAACTCATTAACTACTACTGGAACAAGAATACCAGTATATTTACTTTGGTTCTGATTACTCCTTATTTTAACAATTAATCATGCATCACCTTTTGTTTTTGGACAAATAATTTTTTTAATTTTTAATTTTTATATTATGAGCTAAAACCAAAAAAATATAAAGCATGATTATGTTGTACACTTCTTTTAGCATCTCTGGATGTTGGATTTTTTTTTTTTGGAGACAGGGTCTCGCTTGTGCCAGGCTAGAGTGGTGCCGGGTGTCAGCCTTAGCTCACGCACCTCACACTCCTGGGCTCAAGCCATCCTCCTGCCTCAGTCTCCCAAGTAGCTGGGACTACAGGCATGCACTACTGCCCCTTGGCTTAATTTTTT